GTATGTGCCTATTATTTCCGTCTGTCATGATTGCAATCAAATAAACAACTTAAAAAGCTTTTGGCACACTTGTGATAGTGCGATCGAGTTTATGTGTATCTTCAAAATTATTCACGTAAATAAATTTATTTTTAGATGATAATTAGGCAAAGTTGTTTCCGAGATAATGATAATGACTTTGGGAGCTAGCATTTCGCTATATATATATATGAAACAGCAAATAAATCTTATCTAAGATCGCATTTCGTTTTTACTCTCGATTGAATATTTCAATATTCTGTAATTAGTATTGCTTTATTACTATTAAAACTTTTGAACCACTTAGAAAAAGAAATAATGATCATTTCATGCTCAAATATAATCATTTGACACCCTTTAAGCTTATATATGCCTCAATTAACGGTAGAGAAATAAGAAATAGAAAAGGCTATAAATATGATAAGAAAGGAAGTAAAGGTGTTTAGCTAAGGCATCATTTTACCTTCTAAAATACTAAAAATAGTGATAAGATATTTAAAATTAGTTCTAGACTTCAAGTATATAAATTCAGCTTGGAGATGAGAGGATTTAAATAGTTTATCAAAAGTGTAGGTTTAAATATTGTTGTCTATCATTATACACATAAAAAAATTATAGTTCCTAGTATGTATGTGTGTAAATTAAATTAAATATTGGAACCAGAGCAGACCTTGCTGCAGAATGATCTTCATGTATAAGAACATTTTAATCAATCTATATTTGTTCAATAAAGCAAAGATGTTATGTGTTTGATCTTGTTTTTAGAATTCTCGCTTTCAGGATGGTAGATCTGAAATGATTCACAGTGGGGACCGAATGAAGTTTTTGGGGGCGAACATGATGCTCATCAATGAAATGGTTTTTTCGCTCCTTTCTTGTTTGTCTTTTTTTCTCCCAACTTTCTTTTCCATTTCAAAAAAAAAAAAAAAAAACTTTAAAAAGTAAGAAAAGAACTTTTTCATTGAAAAAGACAAATAATGAAAAGATTGGATTTGCCTAAAATCATCGGACAGCATGGTTTAACAGTTAACATGTAACTCCAAGTTAATAGAAACTCGTATATATGTATACTAATAATAAATCCTTAGACAAATCAACTTATCAAGTCGGGGAAAAAAAGAAATTAAAAAAATATTTTTTCTGATATTACACTAAATCACTGAGGTTTTTTATGTGTGTCTAATATGAAGTAGGCAAAAGTTTGAAATCAATTTTAACCAATGATCAGATCATATGAAAATTGAAATGAGGAGAGACCATTGCAATTTTGAAAACATTTGGACCAGAATGAGACATGAGTGAGACCTCTAAGAATGAATTAATTAATCTGCATCAGCTATATATGGGGCTTCTCCATACAAGATGAATTATTGAACTAGCATATTGCATTTAATTTGAATTATGAATATAATTGTATTTTATAGAGAGGTTAATCTGGCCCTAGGAAATTGAAGAGAGGGTTGGGCATGTCATAAATGCAGTACTAGAATGGCGATGCATGCATGGATAAGAGAGTGCAAACAACAAAAAGGAGAGAAAACGACATGCAATTAGGAGATGGAGGCCCAAACCCAATGGGCTTAGGGTGTGCCAACTAACAGGAACCCTCGTGTGCGTATGGCCCCATCCCTCTCTCTGTCAGTCTTGTCTGAATCTCAGGTCCCACACGTGTTCTGCCACCTATCCCCGTCCAAAACTCTATTCAAACGCTTTTATTACACCACACGTGTGCCATTTATCACCTGATGTTGATTTCTTTTTCGTACAATACAACCTTCATGTCTTTTAATTTTCACTTCTTTTCTTCTTCTAAGTACTATATAATGATTTTATAACATTATCGAAGTAAAGAAGAAAATTAAATTTTATATATAAGCTAATTTTGACTTGTAGATAAATTTATCTTATTTTCATCTCTTAAAAATATTTTCAAAAGGTTTATTCAAACTTATTTATTAGATAAGTTTACTCATATTAGAAATTCTTTCATATTAATTTTTTTAAAAAAAATTATGAAAAATTTTATTTTATTTTTCTCTGTTGTAAATCTATATAATTAATAAAAGAAATATTAATTTAAGTGACCGTCTTTTGTGTTTCTTTTTATGTGGATATATTTGCTTCTATATAATTTAGTTTTATGTCATTTATAAGTCTACATGATAATTTAATTTAATCTCGCTTTTGGTAATTACCTTACCATTTGAAGAAGTTGTGAAATATCTATAATTATATTAAAGAAAATTATACATTTATACATAATTTTTATTCAATTTTATTTTTGTAACTGTTTTTTTATATATATAAATCGCAGTTTTTTTTAAAAAAAATTACAAATTTCACTTCATAGCTTTTTATACTTTCAATTAACTATCTACTATTATGTAATTTTTTATTTTTTAAAAAAATCCATAAAAATATGCAATATTTTTTTTACATTTGTATTTATAAAGAATATATTTATAAGTTTGATTCTTGTTTGTTTAAAATAATATTTAACTAATAAAGTTATATTTTACGAGGATAAATTAGTTTTTAATTATTAATTTTAAAATACTAAACGAATCATGTTAATGAAGAAAAATAATCTCCTAACCAGTTGAATGATTTAATAATATTAGCTTATGCAATCTGGATTTGTCTTCAATCAAAAGAGGGAGAGGAAAACAGCCAAAATATGTTGTGTTGTTTCTATTGCTGGAACTGTTCAATGGCCATCCCAAAATCACTTTGAAGAAGCATAAAAAATGGGTCAGTGAGAGAGGCCCAACCCATTCCCTTAGATTGGATTAACCGCGGGCTGACATTGGAGAACAGAGCCCAAAAAGCTGCTGCTAGTATACTTCTCGTCTCCCAATCTCCCATAGAATCGATTATTAGTATACAGTAATAATATTACTGTATAGTATTTTGAATGCTGACTTATATTTAAGATGAGCTACAAATTTCAATCTTTAGTTAAGAAAATACAAATAATAAATTATTAGTGTCAACAATTTTTTTGGCACTATACAGTAATATTATTAATATAAATATATTTAAAAATACTAAATATATAATACAATATTATAAAGAAAACTTCAAATATGTGGCTGTAATTGCTTATGTTTGACATATTTTAAAGTGCTTCAATGTGAACATGATTGTACAAGCTAATTTCATTTATTTATTTTTTTAGAAAACAATTGATTGCACAATGCCTTCAAACATTTACTTAAGATATTTCAGGTTAAAAAATTAAACTTGAAGTAGTATAATTGATTCTAAGATAAATATTTGTTTTTTTTATAATATATTGTTATTTTTTTACTTTATAGAATACAGTGTATAGATAGACGCTACTTTTACCACCTCACTTTAAACTCTTACAACCATATAACATAAGTAAATGTTGGACATCTTTGTTGGTGGAGAAATGCTTAATCGAATAATCCTCCAACGTATTAAGCCTTCACAAATATTAAATTAAATTAATATTTATATTAAAATTAGTTGACAATTGTTACATAGTTGGATGACTCAAATGCAGGCCAAACTACTACAAGGCCCAAACGTCCAATTCATCATCTCAAATGGTTAAACAACCATGCTCAAGATTGAGCGAGTCTAATTCAAGTTAAAGTTATGTTGTTTTTTATTTAAAAATGAGAAACTTTACACGTGGAAGGTTTAGATTGCCCTTTTTCCACGATCTTTTCTAGTATTTCTTATTATTATACTTGCATGTTCGGAATTGACCTTGCCCTCAAGGTCAATAGTAACAAAAGACTTGTCATAGATTGTG